CTATTTTACAATTTAAAATAACTGTTTTCTATTTGATTATATTTTAAAATGCAATTGTTTCCAGTGGTGGCAAAGCTGAATTTTTAGCAGCCATTACTCCTTCAGACATTCTATTATGCTGATTTGGTTTATTTTTGTGGAAACCCTAATACGTTTTTTCAAGATTCTTTGATTAGAAAAAGTTCAAAATAACAGCATTTACTTTAAATAAAATGTAAAGTTTTGAGAAATTGAGATTTATACATCATCTGAAAGCTTAATAAATAAGCTTTCCATTGATGTGTGGTTTGTTAGGATAGGACAATATTTGGCCGAGATACAACTATTTGAAAATCTGGAATCTGAGGGTGCAAAAAAATCTTAATATTGAGAAAATCGCCTTTAAAGTTGTCCAAATTAAGTTCTTGGCAATGCATATTACTAATCAAAAATAAAGTTTTAATATATTTACAGTAGGAAATTTACTAAATATCTTCATGGAACATGATCTTTACTTAACATCCTAATGATTTTTGGCATGAAAGAAAAATCAATAATTTTGACCCATATAATGTATTTTTGGCTATTGCTACAAATATACCCCAGCGACTTAAGACTGGTTTTAAGACTAGATATGCTCCAGGGTCACATATGTCTTTATTGTTACATTTGATCAATTTAATGCATTCTTGCTGAATAAAAGAAGCCTATTCATTTCTTTCAAAAATGAATCTTATTGATACTTCTTACTGACCCAATTTTATGATGATTTTTATTGTTTTTCATGATTTTCTTTTTATTTCATTTCAATAAAAAATAACAATACATTAAATTTTACCATTAAAACTTAATTTAATTCGGAATAACCATTGAATTCGTGGTGAAAATCTATTACATTTAAAAGACAACACGTACTTTCCACAGTCAAATTTAGATATGTTTTTTTATATCTAATACAATTCACTATAATTTATAATGAAAATCAATAAACCAGTGAATATGTCCACTTAGAATCTCAACCTCAGTTTTCGTTAGAAAGCCTGTATAACAATGTTAATAAAGTTACAATAAAATAGAAAGTACAAGGTCTCCAATCTTCTGAGTATCCTAATCAGTGTGACATAATGCAAATTAACCTTTATCAGCAAGCCCTTAGATAAGGCTTGCAACTCCGTCAAAAGAGTTTAAATGACTGCTGCCGCTATGGAGTCTCTAAATATGATAACCATACTACATGCATAATTAGCACTATACATTGATTAGCACATGCTTTCAAAAATCTTTTGGGTCTTGTCGGTAAGTGACAAACAAGCTGCTTATTATTGGCAACTTCAGCTTGTCCTTATAGAAAATAAACATTAATCCCAAAGCCAGCATGGCAGGTATAATCTATAATCTTCAAAGCTTGTCCTCTCGGTTGGATTTGGCCTAACAATGGAACAGACTGCGTGAGTGCTACTGTTTAATCCAGCAGTCGCCATCTTCATGAGCAACCATCTCAGCTGCAAATTTATCTAACAGGAGGAAAGACTCGAAGTACGTCATAACACAGCGTGACGGCTAAACCTGCATGTCTCATTTGCCTGAAGGGTGCAGACTCACAAGCCGGTGCTATATCCCACTTCCCTCAAATCACAGATAAGTGTTTGTGCTTCACAGACTTAAAGAAGCTTTAGGTCTAAATTACACTCTAAAAAATGCTGGGTTAAATACAACCCAGTGCTGGGTAAAATAGGGATAAACCCAGCAGTCGGGTTGTTTTGACCCAGCGGTTGGGTTACTACCCAGAAGGTTGGGTTAAACATTTAATCCAACCGCTGGGTCAAAACAACCCAATTGCTGGGTTTGTCCCTATTTTACCCAGCACTGGGTTGTATTTAACCCAGCATTTTTTAGAGTGTAGATTTTAAAATTTGGATAAGTCACAAATGGAAATAGAATGGAAATTTCTATAGTAAATAGAAATTGAACATTCTGGTTAAAATGTGTGCGCTTGTATAAGAGAAAATACGTGTTTAGATGCTATATCCAGTAACAATTTCTTTTTATCGCCCTTTTTCTCTAGTTCATTTTAATGGTTTTGTATTGCTTTCCAATTGAAATTAATTGTAAAAAGTATAAGTACAAATATTCCCCGAGTCCCTCAATTAGTTCAAGAAAGCAGAATAAACAATAATCACAATACAGTTGGGGTTTAAAATATGTCGGTGATCATCCTGTATTGAAAACATTTGTTTTTTTGTATTTTTTTCGAAATTCTATCAATAAAATTTAAATGAAGTGCAACATATTTTCTAACAAATGTAATGTTTGATAATAGACAGAGGGTTTTTGGATTTTAACAAAAGAATTCATCATTTAATACAATTATAATGTGCTATTCAACCATGGGGACAAACTTGGGAATGCTATATTTCCATATTTTTTTTAGTCTTATCAATAAGGAATTTTTCATATAGATTGTTTACCTGTTTTTATCTGTGTTTTGAATTGTGCACAGCATTGCGTTGTGTTTTAGAGTTAGCAGAAATGTCTGTGAAATTATACCGTATAATGTCCTTGCCAGTACTTTTCCCGTATTTTTTGTATTATCATATATTTTAAATAGCTTTTTCATAAAGAATAGGTGAAAATATACATTTCAGCATCCGCTAAAAGATCTAAAAATGTTTACAAATAAAGAATTAAAAAAGGTTGATGAATAAGCTGGTTTACCAGTAATCTCTCTTGAATGTTACGGACAATAATAAGTGATATCACATCCTGGTATTCAAATAATAAAGTCAAAAGTATGTTCACAGCAGCACAATCTGCATCTAGCTAATCTTTTACTTTTGCGGCATGAACTCATCCTCAATAAGTCTCGTTAATGTGTAAAGACTCATGCTCAAGCATGTTAACCATCAAATTAATAGTTAGTAGTCTATCCTTCTAAAGTTTGAGGTAATCACTACAACCTGAAATATAAAAATTATAATATCATTTAAAGTATAAACACTAATTATAGGCATTAATAGCACGTTTACAATTAAAAATAATAATAATATGGAGGCAATATAGTAATAAATTGCAGCTTTATCTTGATTTAACTACTAAAGACTCTCGTTTCTTTTAACATCATGGATTTTGTCAATCAGAACACATTACAAAAATATGAAACACAATACGAAACTAAGGTTAAGCTATGAAACTTTTTTAATGTGGGAGTCTTTAAATCAGAGGCCTGTTGTAGCCCAAGTCACAACTCTAAACAAGTCAGGATCCTACAAATGTATCAACAATAAACATACATTTTTCTAGACATAAGCATAAGGATTAATATATGGGATACTGTACACTAGAAAGATCATTCTCTAAATCCGTGTGTAGGCTAATACAGATAATTCACATGATTGTTCTCTTTAATGGCACTGTAATCGCGTTTTGTTCCATGTAATAACCCGTTATGTTTTTAATAAAAAGAAAAGAACTACTTACAGGCTTAGGCATTGTCAGTCTTGTGTGAGGACCAGCTTAAGAAAACACCAGAGACCCGCGCTGCGCTCGAGACTGATCTGAACAGTGAGCGCTAGAGACTCATTTCTGAGTCATTTTCGAGAGATGGTGTCAAAGCCTCGCCCCAGCGATAGCTACGATAAGTTAGTTAGACCACTGGAGTTAAAGAGTGCCAGCAGGGCTCTGCTTACGGTGCAGCTGCGCTGTAAACTCGGGTTCGACCTTTGATCCGGCTCGCGCACTGACGGCGACGCGACAGAACTAGAACGCCTAGTTCTTGTCGCGTCGTCAACAATGACAAAGCTCGAAGCTCTTTAACGGCTCACACTGTCACATTACACCATTGCAGTCCATATACGCTGACTAGGCGGAGAAAACATGGGCGCGGTTGAGGTTGATAATCTACAAGGTGGATATCTGGGCAGTTCTCTACTTTCTGTAGTAGGCTACAGGTGGGCGAATACATATAAACATTCATCCCCAGAAAGTATTTGAACAATTAAAATAAAAAATGACGATTAAAATCGCTTAAATGTCACAAAATATCGAACACGTTTGAGAAACATGTCAAAAGGCATTTATTTTAAATATAGGCTAGTATAATAACACCCTTTAAATGGTTTCAAATGCTAAACCAATAGGCTACATTAAAATACTCGTCAAAATAAAGATGAATACGTCTACTAAAGATCACTGCAATGTTGTGAAAAGCAATTGTAAACAAAAGAATCTTTTCTAGCAAATGTATAGCAATTTTGTTTCCTCGCCCGATGCACGAACAAATGACTCTTATGACTCGGTTCGTTCGAAGCACACGCGATACTGGTTTGAATCAGTCTCACGAATTCTCAACGAATCTTTCCGAGCGGCTACTGAATCATGACTCACTGAACTGAGGGTTCCATGGAAATGCATCATTACTTCAGTATAATTATTAGACTGCTCTTACTAGCTGTCTCAAGTTTGCATCATTGATTCTATTACTTTCTTGTTTAATACTGTGAAAGAAAATCTGTATTGTATAACGCGTTATACAATACAGATTACAATAAATATTGAAAAAAATTAAGTTACTTGACTTGACAAAGAACACAAAACTGTTTAGCCTATGATTTATCTGTATACCTTACATACATGTCTTTATATGTTTATTCCTATTTGTATAGCCTTCTTATATGCCTTGTGGCAATATTGAAACTGACAAATCAGCCTAACCAAAAAACTTACCTAAAATATTGTTTATTCTCATATTTCTTTAAATTGTTTTTTGGTGGCTCTCAAGGTGGGTCCTAACATGAAAAAGTTTGCAAACCCCTGATCTAATTCAATGGCATTCATACATTTTGTGTGCAAATACTTTTTGGGGTCACTGTAGGCCATGGTGTTTTATATATATATATACTGTATATATAACATTTCTGTTTTAAAGCTGCATTTTCTTAAATAATAATAAAATGATTGCTAAATACTTTATTTCTTAGTGACTCAAAATGCATAAAGTGTACGGCAACATGACTTTAGCTTTATGTTGTCTTTATTTCATGAGAAGACATACATATGATTTACATTGTTTTTAAGCATGTACATTAGTTCTGCAAACATTGCACAAAAACTTAAAATCTGTGTAGTGAAATTTCCTCAAAGTGCCTTTCGGTTACATTTTTGGTTTTGGGGTGCTATAGAATCAAAGCACAGAGGGCATAAACACATTGTCACTAAAGACTGTACAAAAATGAAGAATAAAATTCTACATATTCAGCACAAATGAATTGCACTTGAAGCCCTGAAATGTTAACGCCTCATTATGAGGTCATATGCAAAAGACATTTTCCCTCCACCAAAAAGTAGCAACAATAATAAAAATGAACAGTAAATCAGACATATGTCTCTCTGAGGTCTTCCTGATTGCACCAAACTGGCATTGATGCTTCATACCCAGTTTCAGATGTGGTCCTCTGTCTCAACTCTGAGGAGGATCCACTCGTACTATCACAACATGTCTCTTTATTGTCTCTGTTGTGGATATCGAAATGTTCATTCCCAGAAGACAGTTCCAATGTCTCTTCACTTGAACTTCTTGAGTGGCTACACGTTTGCTTTGACAGACATCTGGCATCCTGTACAGTCAATGATCGACGGCTCGAGAGAGCGACGTGGGAATTGTGCTGAACGGCTTGCTGATAACTTGGAGGATCGCTTGGTATCCTGCTGTCCACCTGTTGGAAAACCTCCTCGCCAGACAAGCGTCTCGGCTCCGGTTGAGGATTCAGTACCTCAGGTAGGGTCTGGCTGTGGCGTAGGGCTCTCTCGATGGCCCGTTTGGTGGAGCCGCTTCGCCCGAAGACAGTCCTACTTCTGATGTGTGCGCTCTTCATGGATTGGGAGCGTCTTTTGGGGGTCTCTGAGCGATTCGCTGCAGGTGCCGATTGGCGGGTGGGGAAGGAATGTTTGCGTTGAAGGGCTTTTCTCTGATTGCATAAAGGCACAATAAGAGGACTGTTATGGATAGAGCTATCCGAAGCACTGGAGAAACAACTCTCAAGTGAGCTTGAAAAACAATACGAGCAGTCTTTAGAGGATGTCCTGGCCACATAGCTCTTCCCCAAGCTGTTGCCTGCTCTAACCACAACACAGTCATCAGAGATCTGTTTTGTTAAGAGTTTGTCATAAAAGTCAATTTCTGTCTGGCTCCTGGAGAGGGCAAGGTGCTGCTGAACTCCCTCTATGAGGTTGATTACTGGTTCTGAACGTCTGCGAGTCAGTTTTTTTGTCCAAAGTTCCTCTGCGCTGGAATGTTCCTGGGATTTCTCTTCAGTGCCGGATTTGATAGAGTCTGCATCAGGGTCATTACTGTCGTACGCAGAGTCATGACGGTGCGAAGAAAAAGAGTCTGAAGGAGAAATCAATGACAGATACTCATTAATTATCAAGTATTTTGTTTACATTTGCTTTGCTAAATCTGTGCCATCGTATGTAAAGAGTGCCTATGCATTGGAGAACCCTGGACCGATGGGAATTAGTAAGATGTTTTGAGGCAGTGGAAATAGCTTCCTCAATTTGAAATCAAGTGGGAATTGGATAGCCAATTGGATTTTTGGACCCGACTCTCTCAAATTCTCATTGGTCAATGGATGTCTACAGTTTGTTTCTGTAAAAGTCTCCTGCATGTTTTCTCTTGATAAAAAGAGATTCAGAAGAGATCTTAGTTGTGATTCACAATGTTCTCATATTTCCCAAGACATATTTCAATATCAAATGAGCTATAATGTCCATATTGTTTTTATACCTCTATACTTTTACTGTACGTCGACAATAATTATCTAATTTGTGAGTTTGTTTTTTTAAGGAACATCTGAGACAAAGTTAATTCTTCATCCCCATTGAAATGGATCTGCAGTGTAAACTCCAGTGCATAGGCAAAGACACAATATTAAAAAAATTACCTTGGTTATCGCTGAGTTCATCTTCATCAGAGTCTCCAAAGAGTGTCAGTGCATCCTCACCAAACAATTGAGGGCAGTTGTCAATGAGAAACTCAGTCAGTTTCGTCACCTGCAAATACATTCCCAAAGATACATGAGAATGAATCAAAGGGCACATCAACAACATAAAAGATCACATGGATTATGAAATCCCATGAAAACAGGTCAAAATAAGTCTGCATATGAAACTAGTTTGAGCTTTTCTTCCTCTGTTTTCTGGCTCTTAGCCACATCATGTGAGAAGTCTTTAAGGTCAAGATTTTCACTACACTCACCTCTTCCATCTTTTCCACGTTGTCTGTTTGGAGCAAGTTGGGGGAAACACATGTAGCCAGATTGGTGGAACTCATCTTGTTTGTATCTGCATTCTCACTTATGTGGTAGAGCAGAACCATAAAGTGCTTCAAGAGCTGAATATTTGGCTCAGGAAGTGTGTTGATCACCCTAAAGAAAGACATGAAGGAAACCTGGTCACAATTACAGTTTATTTACACTAAACACTTTTTAGTCAAAAAATAGAGAACTTACATTTTAAGTTCAGCACACTTCTGTTTTTTTTTTTTAAAGCTGCATTTTCTTAAATAATAATAAAATGATTGCTAAATACTTTATTTCTTAGTGACTCAAAATGCATAAAGTGTACGGCAACATGACTTTAGCTTTATGTTGTCTTTATTTCATGAGAAGACATACATATGATTTACATTGTTTTTAAGCATGTACATTAGTTCTGCAAACATTGCACAAAAACTTAAAATCTGTGTAGTGAAATTTCCTCAAAGTGCCTTTCGGTTACATTTTTGGTTTTGGGGTGCTATAGAATCAAAGCACAGAGGGCATAAACACATTGTCACTAAAGACTGTACAAAAATGAAGAATAAAATTCTACATATTCAGCACAAATGAATTGCACTTGAAGCCCTGAAATGTTAACGCCTCATTATGAGGTCATATGCAAAAGACATTTTCCCTCCACCAAAAAGTAGCAACAATAATAAAAATGAACAGTAAATCAGACATATGTCTCTCTGAGGTCTTCCTGATTGCACCAAACTGGCATTGATGCTTCATACCCAGTTTCAGATGTGGTCCTCTGTCTCAACTCTGAGGAGGATCCACTCGTACTATCACAACATGTCTCTTTATTGTCTCTGTTGTGGATATCGAAATGTTCATTCCCAGAAGACAGTTCCAATGTCTCTTCACTTGAACTTCTTGAGTGGCTACACGTTTGCTTTGACAGACATCTGGCATCCTGTACAGTCAATGATCGACGGCTCGAGAGAGCGACGTGGGAATTGTGCTGAACGGCTTGCTGATAACTTGGAGGATCGCTTGGTATCCTGCTGTCCACCTGTTGGAAAACCTCCTCGCCAGACAAGCGTCTCGGCTCCGGTTGAGGATTCAGTACCTCAGGTAGGGTCTGGCTGTGGCGTAGGGCTCTCTCGATGGCCCGTTTGGTGGAGCCGCTTCGCCCGAAGACAGTCCTACTTCTGATGTGTGCGCTCTTCATGGATTGGGAGCGTCTTTTGGGGGTCTCTGAGCGATTCGCTGCAGGTGCCGATTGGCGGGTGGGGAAGGAATGTTTGCGTTGAAGGGCTTTTCTCTGATTGCATAAAGGCACAATAAGAGGACTGTTATGGATAGAGCTATCCGAAGCACTGGAGAAACAACTCTCAAGTGAGCTTGAAAAACAATACGAGCAGTCTTTAGAGGATGTCCTGGCCACATAGCTCTTCCCCAAGCTGTTGCCTGCTCTAACCACAACACAGTCATCAGAGATCTGTTTTGTTAAGAGTTTGTCATAAAAGTCAATTTCTGTCTGGCTCCTGGAGAGGGCAAGGTGCTGCTGAACTCCCTCTATGAGGTTGATTACTGGTTCTGAACGTCTGCGAGTCAGTTTTTTTGTCCAAAGTTCCTCTGCGCTGGAATGTTCCTGGGATTTCTCTTCAGTGCCGGATTTGATAGAGTCTGCATCAGGGTCATTACTGTCGTACGCAGAGTCATGACGGTGCGAAGAAAAAGAGTCTGAAGGAGAAATCAATGACAGATACTCATTAATTATCAAGTATTTTGTTTACATTTGCTTTGCTAAATCTGTGCCATCGTATGTAAAGAGTGCCTATGCATTGGAGAACCCTGGACCGATGGGAATTAGTAAGATGTTTTGAGGCAGTGGAAATAGCTTCCTCAATTTGAAATCAAGTGGGAATTGGATAGCCAATTGGATTTTTGGACCCGACTCTCTCAAATTCTCATTGGTCAATGGATGTCTACAGTTTGTTTCTGTAAAAGTCTCCTGCATGTTTTCTCTTGATAAAAAGAGATTCAGAAGAGATCTTAGTTGTGATTCACAATGTTCTCATATTTCCCAAGACATATTTCAATATCAAATGAGCTATAATGTCCATATTGTTTTTATACCTCTATACTTTTACTGTACGTCGACAATAATTATCTAATTTGTGAGTTTGTTTTTTTAAGGAACATCTGAGACAAAGTTAATTCTTCATCCCCATTGAAATGGATCTGCAGTGTAAACTCCAGTGCATAGGCAAAGACACAATATTAAAAAAATTACCTTGGTTATCGCTGAGTTCATCTTCATCAGAGTCTCCAAAGAGTGTCAGTGCATCCTCACCAAACAATTGAGGGCAGTTGTCAATGAGAAACTCAGTCAGTTTCGTCACCTGCAAATACATTCCCAAAGATACATGAGAATGAATCAAAGGGCACATCAACAACATAAAAGATCACATGGATTATGAAATCCCATGAAAACAGGTCAAAATAAGTCTGCATATGAAACTAGTTTGAGCTTTTCTTCCTCTGTTTTCTGGCTCTTAGCCACATCATGTGAGAAGTCTTTAAGGTCAAGATTTTCACTACACTCACCTCTTCCATCTTTTCCACGTTGTCTGTTTGGAGCAAGTTGGGGGAAACACATGTAGCCAGATTGGTGGAACTCATCTTGTTTGTATCTGCATTCTCACTTATGTGGTAGAGCAGAACCATAAAGTGCTTCAAGAGCTGAATATTTGGCTCAGGAAGTGTGTTGATCACCCTAAAGAAAGACATGAAGGAAACCTGGTCACAATTACAGTTTATTTACACTAAACACTTTTTAGTCAAAAAATAGAGAACTTACATTTTAAGTTCAGCACACTTCTGCTCTTGACCTTCCTTTTCCATTGCAGTCATCCAGGATTTGTACTTCTCCACCATTAGCAAACGGCCAGGCAGTTGTCTAAGAAAATCCTGCAAATCAAAATACACATAATAGACAGTTAATAGACATGTTAATGATCAAATATGCATATTCTCGACTTTAGAATTGCTGTTAATCAGTCAAATCAAATCATATTGCACAAGGTCGTCCCTTACCTTGACAAGATCAGCAAGCAAAATGACTGACTGCTCTTTCAGATCCACTTCTATCCCATCGTTGAGCTGCGCCTTGATCTCTCTCAGAGCCCTGGCGTTGCCGGCCCTCCTGAACACCCCCTCAGTGTACAGACCATTTCTCAGCAGCAATGTAAAGATATCCTGCAAAGGAAATTAAGACATTTGAAATACTAAAACCACATACATATAATACCAAATTTTGCATTGAAGTTCTATGGTATCACAAGATGACAACTCTTACCATAATTGCTATGGGAGGACACCCATCTTTTTGACAGACATCAGACAAGGGTCGCCCAAACAGTGAGCTTTTGGGATGCTCCATGTTCTTTTTCTGTACTTGACGGAAGATGCTCTTCCAGCGCCTTTGGTTGATGTTTCCTGTTAAATATTAATAAACAGTAAAAATCACTATATTCTTTAAAAAGAATTAACATATTCTGATATTCTATTTTACAGTAAAATGTATTTACACTTGGGGTTTTTTTTTTTAGTTTTAGTTTAGGTTTGTTTTTCTTCTTCTTCTTTTCAACATAAAAAAAAACCTATTAAAGAGCAATGAAATTTCAAAGAACAGAAGTAACTTTTAGCTTACCAGTGTGGGAGAAGCTGGTCTGATTGGCTTTAGTCTGCTGACTAAGGGAGAGTCCCGTATTCACTGGAACCTAAATGCTCTTCCAGCGCCTTTGGTTGATGTTTCCTGTTAAATATTAATAAACAGTAAAAATCACTATATTCTTTAAAAAGAATTAACATATTCTGATATTCTATTTTACAGTAAAATGTATTTACACTTGGGGTTTTTTTTTTTAGTTTTAGTTTAGGTTTGTTTTTCTTCTTCTTCTTTTCAACATAAAAAAAACCTATTAAAGAGCAATGAAATTTCAAAGAACAGAAGTAACTTTTAGCTTACCAGTGTGGGAGAAGCTGGTCTGATTGGCTTTAGTCTGCTGACTAAGGGAGAGTCCCGTATTCACTGGAACCTAGTAGAAATGAAAGAAATCAATAAGATGAAGCAAAGGACTTTAATAAAAAACAGAACTAAACATAGTAACTGGGGGATTCTGGGTTGGTGCAACAAGAGCTTAACAGTGCAAGCTTTGTAAACATCACATCTAAACCATGTATAAGTGAGATTTATTGACATTTAACAGGTCAGGACTTTGTAGCATCCTATTGTAGGCTTTGTTCTCAACACTCAGCCTTTAAAGAATCCATAATTGCACTAATCTATCAATCAGAAGGTAATAAGGAACGCTGTATGCGTAAGATCTTGGGATCGATATACTTACATCTGTGGCTGGCATGTTGATTACGTCCATGCTGCTTTGGGTCAACGATTTGACGACAGACTGAAACAGAAAGAACAAAAGATGTGTTTATCCTGTCAATGGGATTTAGGGAAGTAAGTCAATTCAATTACGTACTAATCAGTTTCCATGATGACATTAAAAGACAATAGGTGCGTGAAACTGATGGGTAAAGGTGATAACTTACCACGCCGTGACCACTCAACACCTTCATAGGTTTGCTGTGTTGTGATGACCAATAGATGCAGTCCTCTAGGTCAGATTACCTGATCGGTGAAAATGGTTTCATTTGTTATTATAGCACTATAGCAACTTAAATACAGAATGCATCATAGAACCAAACTTTGCAAATCAACACCTGAAGTTCATGGCAGAAATAATGCATTTATAAAAAAAAATACAAATAAAAATACAAATTAATTTAATTTAATTTAATACATTTTAGTCTTCTAACACATGAAAATGATTAGCAAAATATTAAGCTGTAATATAAATTACAGTAAAAAAAAAAACAATGTATGCATAATATGTTTAACTTAATTAGCTAACAGCTTCAAAACATTGAAAAAATAAGCAATAACACGTCACTATATTATAAAATACAGGTAAATAAATATGTTACTCACCACTCTAAAACATTCAGTCGGGGGTCAAACGGTGTGGGTGGCTGGAGAAAGCAACAGTATACATTGAGCAGAACAGACTCTATCAACAGACTCGGACAGACTGAAGTGAAACAGCCCACAGCTCTGCACAAAATGAAAGTGGGCGGGCAGAGGGGAAATTCTGATGTGCAATGGAGACAGGAAGCAGCATCACGGGCTCCCACCATCAACACCTTTTTAGCTACAAATGGCAAGCTGTTGTGGCAGAGGGTGGAAAGTGTGATATACGTCACTCAAGTGAGCACGAACGCAGCAGGTAGCACGCGGATGACAGAGTATATGGCAATAAGAGAAAGTTAATATCAAATTACTTGATCAACAGGCTCAAAAACATGTGTATCATGTTACGTCTTTCTGTATTAGAATAAAACAGGCATGGAAGTGAAGTCATAAACAATAGAGATTTATACCTTTAGGCAGCAATCATTAACAGTTGCATTTCATTTGTTAGATCAAATGCATGACAGTTATTCAGTTATTTTGAGTTCTTTCTTCAGTTTCTGAAGGTTTTCTGGTAAATAGGAATATAATTGAGCTTGGCCAGTGTTTACAGTAAAGGCGCTTTTACAATGATTCACTATTTTGCTGTAAATGTTAATGATACCCCGGGGAATTTTAGAGTAACAAAAACCATCATTTTGAGACTCTGAATCTGACAGTGTTTGCCAACTGACTCACTATCGTTCATGAAACCGTCCAGCCCCCATGCTTTTACATGAGATGCATAATAGGTAAATTCATCATGAAAATAAGAGCTGCATTTGACCAAATAGTTTTCAGCATACCCACCTACTGCTTACATTTGCCTTGCCTTGGAAACCAGGTCACTGGCTTCTCATCAATAGCTTTTTGATGTTTTGGAAAAGTCAAACGTGTGGAGGAGGTTAAAAATCAATATCTCAAGTTTGAACAGTTAATCTCTCTTTACTGGGCAGAACTGGGTTTCTTGTCACACTTTTTATTCCAGTGAATACTTCTCATTAGGTTTGGATTTTAAAGTTTTTCCTAGGCATATACATTAGAGTCAAAAAATATGAGTATCATATAATAAATACACTATACATTCAGCACAAAGAATTTTATATTGGAGAACAGAATTCTTCACAAGCTTTGAACACTTTGAAGTTTGGGGTCAGTTTTTTTTTTTATAAACTAACTTTAAATTACTGCATTAAATTAATCAAAATTGACAGTATAGATATTTATATTACAAAATATTTCTTTTTCAAATAAATACTGTTATTTTGTTCAATCCTAAAAAAATGTATATTATAAAAATGTATTAAACACTTATTTTTTTCACAAAAATATTAAGCAACATTTTTATTTCAAACAAGTACCTGTGCAATTGCACCTTTATCTCAGATCTTTTTAGTTACCGAGTTATAGCCTTTATGAGAACTACAGCATGTTGAACAGCTGTTTTCCAATTGCCTGACCCAATGTTACGTCTTTCTGTATTAGAATAAAACAGGCATGGAAGTGAAGTCATAAACAATAGAGATTTATACCTTTAGGCAGCAATCATTAACAGTTGCATTTCATTTGTTAGATCAAATGCATGACAGTTATTCAGTTATTTTGAGTTCTTTCTTCAGTTTCTGAAGGTTTTCTGGTAAATAGGAATATAATTGAGCTTGGCCAGTGTTTACAGTAAAGGCGCTTTTACAATGATTCACTATTTTGCTGTAAATGTTAATGATACCCCGGGGAATTTTAGAGTAACAAAAACCATCATTTTGAGACTCTGAATCTGACAGTGTTTGCCAACTGACTCACTATCGTTCATGAAACCGTCCAGCCCCCATGCTTTTACATGAGATGCATAATAGGTAAATTCATCATGAAAATAAGAGCTGCATTTGACCAAATAGTTTTCAGCATACCCACCTACTGCTTACATTTGCCTTGCCTTGGAAACCAGGTCACTGGCTTCTCATCAATAGCTTTTTGATGTTTTGGAAAAGTCAAACGTGTGGAGGAGGTTAAAAATCAATATCTCAAGTTTGAACAGTTAATCTCTCTTTACTGGGCAGAACTGGGTTTCTTGTCACACTTTTTATTCCAGTGAATACTTCTCATTAGGTTTGGATTTTAAAGTTTTTCCTAGGCATATACATTAGAGTCAAAAAATATGAGTATCATATAATAAATACACTATACATTCAGCACAAAGAATTTTATATTGGAGAACAGAATTCTTCTCAAGCTTTGAACAGTTTGAAGTTTGGGGTCAGTTTTTTTTTTTTATAAACTAACTTTAAATTACTGCATTAAATTAATCAAAATTGACAGTATAGATATTTATATTACAAAATATTTCTTTTTCAAATAAATACTGTTATTTTTTTCAATCCTAAAAAAATGTATATTATAAAAATGTATTAAACACTTATTTTTTTCACAAAAATATTAAGCAACATTTTTATTTCAAACAAGTACCTGTGCAATTGCACCTTTATCTCAGATCTTTTTAGTTACCGAGTTATAGCCTTTATGAGAACTACAGCATGTTGAACAGCTGTTTTCCAATTGCCTGACCCACATTAAACTTTTTTTTTTTTAGACCAGATGACACCTGCTTGTGTGTTTCTTTAGAAATTCATAAACACACTCCATTTAGATTTCTTACGTGACACTAATATGACAGGACAACAAGTTGAAGTGACAAACATCTCTCTCTTCAGATTAATGTGAAACATTTCTGGTCACTGAGGGCATTTCTTCAAGATTAGACACAAACACTATACTTATGACTGAGATGGTGTTTGAGTAAAAATGTTTTTGTGAAATTATATTTTAATGCTTAATTTGTAATATGAAACCTCTCACCACAAGCAATTTCAATGTATAAGTGAAGTGTGAATCACCAAACTTTCCCCTCATGTACAATAATAGAAACCAAGAGATTTAATGCGTTTACAATTATAGATACTTCTTAGACACCTCAAACATTTAAAATGATTATTTAACATCATTTAATACATGTAAATATGTCAAACAACCAAGCCTATTTTTTTTTTTAAATCACACCTGTAGGTGGCCTAATTTAAATGTCATTCAAAGCAGCCCACCAGGGAAAAACCCACGTGGGACAGTATGCATCATAATGTTTTCTATGACTGTAGGCTGAAAGACCACCAGACAACCTCAAATTTACACATGCCCACTTAAGAGCACAGACAAAGGTCACAAACAACTATGATTCAGACTTTTGACTGGACTTTTAGATAGCTTTATTATAAGACCATTAGTATACGCATTAAAACTCATCTTTAATGGTGAAACTCGGTTGGTCTTCAGGTTTGAATTCTGTATTGGGGCTGCCGTCCTCGTTGAGAACACGTCTGCTGGTGTATCCCACGATGGGGTATTTTGCTTTGTATGTGCCTTTGAATATCTGCTCAAGAGACTGTAGTTGACTCTCAGTGAGGCCCGTCTAACAAATAGGAACCAAAAGAGGCAATGTGTAAGTTAGTGCAAAAAAAGGTCTGATGGAATCCAATATTCAGCTTTATATTAAGAAACTGAAACTAATGTTTTCTTCTGTGGCACAGTTGTGAATTTGTTAAAATCCCCATCTTACAGTGTCATAAGTGAGATCTGCTGGGTCAAGGGACATTTTGGCCACAGCTCTGGTTGAGTCTTTGCCAACAAGGGCATTATAAGATGCTCCCTTTCCATAAAACTCTGAAAATAAAAGAAACACAACAAGGTTTCCACACACTTTAAACAAGGAACTCCCATGCCATTCTTGATTACGTAAATCTATATAGACTGTCATCACAAATTACAATTTCTAGCTGATGAAATAGAGTAGAGCTCAACATAACCTCACAATTTCACTATAAGAATTCCCATAACTCCTGGAAATTTATGCTAAATAGCATAACTTTTCCAGCCCTGGGAATCCCAGTTTTTTTCCCACTGTTGGAAAGTTCAGCCACTAAAGGGGTCATATGATGTTGCTAAAAAGAACATTATTTTGTGTATTTGGTGTAATGAAATGTGTTTATGCGGTTTAAAGTTTAAAAAAAACATTATTTTCCACATACTGTACATTGTTGTTTCTCCTCTATGCATCGCCTTTTTGAAACGCGTCGATTTTTACAAAGCTCATCGGTCTGAAAAGCGAGGTGTGCTGTGATTGGCCAGCTATCCAATGCGTTGTGATTGGCTGAATTCCTCAAGCGTGAGACGGAAATGTTACGCCCCTCACATACTGTTGATGCCGTGTCCGGCCGGAGCGACGAGACAAAAACATTAAAACCCATTACAAACGAGGCATTTAGCTGGGTCAAAACAACCCAATATATTGGTTCTACCTTAATATTACCAAGTAACGGGAATAAAACAAAATAATGACACGTAATATCTAGTGATGGGTCATTTCAAAACACTGTTTTGAAGCTTTACGAATCATTGGTTTTTAATTAGTGGTTCGGATTGCGTAAACAAAATCAAAATGACTGAAATCACATTTTGTTCATGGATTGCACCCCAAGCAGTTGAACTGTAGTGTTGTTGTTTTTCTTTTTTTGGTTCTTTTGATTTTGCATTTGTAATAGGGTTAATGGTCATTTCTCTCAATTTATCTCAAAGGTTAGCAGTGTTAACGGTTTACTTATTTTACATATTTCAAGTCTTGAAGGAGAGTTGTAGAAAAGATTAACATACCACATTAATGTGGTTAAGGTTACAGAAAGGTTGATTTTGCATTTGTAATAGTTCAAAATAATGTGACGTTCATACATCCTGGTAATTTTGTAAAATGATAGCCATGTTTTAAGACCGTTAGTTCTATTCTTATACTGCTTAATGGTTTTTACATTACATATCTCAAGTTTTCAAGGAGAGGTGTACAAAACAGTTTTACATTAATGTGGTTAGTTACAGAAAGTTGACAATTTAAAAAAAAAAATCTTGAAAAGACCATTTTATTTGAGTGTTTTTCCATCCATTGTTGATGTGTAAAGCGCATACAGGCTAGTCTAACTGGCAGCATAATTCAGTTGGCTATTTTTTCTCTCTATTTTTTTGACAGAAGGTGATGCATATTTTAAAAAGACATCAAAATAAACATTGAGGTCTTTCCAAGAGAATATTCCTGTCTTTATTTATAGTAAGTCAACTAAATGAGCATTTACTGACAATGTTTTATTTTAAGTGAAAAAAAATTATATTAAAGCAAATTTAGCTTTTGTTCATGGTAAAAGTTAAGTTGTAACAAAGCAAAAAATATATATTGACCTACATTTAAGTAAAGTTTTTTTCTTGTGACTAAAGAAAATAAATAGATTTAGGTGTTATTAAAAATATAGTTTGTACTGAATCAGAAATTCAACTTGAGTAAATGTAATAAAATTGCTTGTAACAAAATTACAGCAATTTATTTAGTTTAGTCCAAAGTAAAAATTATACTTGGATGCTATGGTAAAAAGTAAGTTTTTCCAAAATAAAAAATTTAAGTTGTACCAAAGTAAAAAATAATTATTTGGTCTTCATAAAAAGCAATATTTTAACTTTGTTTCAATGTAATTTTTTATCTTGGGCAGAATAACTATTTTGATTGATATTAAATTAAAATGTAAAGTTTCAACCAAATCAAAAATATAGTTTGAGAAAAACTAATAAATTTAGCTGTAACAAATGACAGTAATTTTTTTAGGTTGGTCCAAAGTATCATTTTTTTCAGTGTAGCTGGGTCAAAACAACCCAATAGCTGGGTTTGTCCCTTTTTAACCCAGCGCTGGGTTATATTTAACCCAGCATTTTTTAGAGTGTACATTTAATTCTTAAATTAATTTATAATACTTAAAATAAAAAATGTCTGAATGTGAAAAAAAGTGTTTAAATGATACCTCTGAAGATACGTGATCTGTCGTCCTACGCTTTTTGTTGTTTTTATTATTTTCATTATTTTATTTATTTATTTTTGAAAATCAGTAGTTAATGCTGACTGTTAACCTGAAAATGTAACTCTTATTCATCTCAGTAAGTAAAATCTTTTGAATCGTTCATCAAAAAGATTCATTAAGATCCGTTCTGTAACTTTTTTGGACTTAAGTTGAATCACTGAATCATTCATTCAAACGATTGATTAAAACACCGATTTGTTCACTACCGAAGTCTTCTATCATTTATTAAAACTGGCTTGACAACAAATCTACTGACTTTGAGAATTGGTGTTAAGCATCATAAGTGTTTCCCCACACATAAGAACAGGACATACTGACTTTTATCAAGCTACAAAACAACAGAGGTGTAAAGTATTGGAGTAAATGTAATTAGTTACTGTACTTGAGTATCTTTTCGGGTACTTTGTAATTGTACTAAGATATTAGCAACTTTTACTCTTTACTTCACTACTTTTTTGAATGAGTATCTGTACTCTTTACTCCACTACATTTGAAATGAGTGTTGCAGTTACACATTACATTTTGCATGGACCTAGCTTTTTCTGCAGCAGTTTATTTCTGCTACAAAAGCCGTGATACTGCCTATTACAGGTCATTGAAAGTACTGCATCTTGTGCGTTTTACCCTTACTCACCCAAACTTTTCAATAAGGCTATTTTATGTGAATGCGAGTTCCTTAGCAAGTATTTGTGAATCAGAGGTGTTTTATATACGAGATGAGGACATACTGCAGCTGGCAATGAGGCCCAAATCAGCACATCCACTGCAAGAAGGCTTCAGCTTTTTAATTTTACTTAACATTGTTTTATTTATCCATTATACTGAAGAGACCTTTTTGAAAGATATAGTTTTTTGTTTGTTTTGTTTTGTAATTTTGAGGTGTTCAGTTTTATTTTGGTTTTAGAAAATAAACGTGATTGCTCTCCTCACAAATCAACTCATTCTTGTTTTTGTTTCATGCTCTCTGTGCCTTGCCCTGGACTTTTATGTCACTTCCTTCTCCCGTGGTGTTTGTAGTCCGTTTGTAGTCCGTTTGTTCATTGGTTCCCCTTGATTAGTCTCCACAGATGTGTCTTATATTGTTCCGCTTGTTAGCCCCGTGTGTATATATAGCTCTAGTTTTTCTTTAGTTCCTCGTGAGCTGTTGAATGTAATGGTTGTCTGTTTGCCAGTCATTCTGTTCTTTGTTCCCTTTGGTTTTTGCCTTGTTTGTTTTAGTTTTTCCATGAAACGTATGGTTTTTAGGTACTCTTTACACCTCTGCAAAACAACCACAATAATAGTCTAAACAAATTAAGCATTTTATTAGCATCCTTACGTCACACGTGTATTTCACGAGTAAACAACACGTGTTGTCTACGCGTAAAAATTCACGTGGTTTTGGCCCTTTTGGCCTTCCATAGTCATCAGTTGTTCTTATACAGTTAACTCCTTTCGCTCCTCGAGCAACTGACTGGCTCACATGACGAACAGAATGAACTACATGCCCCACTCGTCCAGATTAAAGAGGGCGTATTAGTTTAGAAGGTTCAACAAATGAAATGCTCCGTCACAGCCCGCCGTCGAATGCTATTGGCTCGCGCCATTGTCAGTCTCTCACGATATTAAAATCACGCGTGAAGGTGAACGACAGCGGAGAGATTAATTGTTATTATAATCTACGGAAGTGTGAAGAGAAAACATTTATGAAACCAAGTGTGATAGAAATGTGCAAAACAGAACCTATGGAAGATTTCGAGTAACGTTAAACTTTAAAGAAAAAGATGAAGGATTGTATCCCAAGCCCTCCCCAAACTAACAGCTGCGATGTCACGCTCGGCAGGGTTTTTGGCCATTGGCTGTGCCTCACTCCAGCTCCTCGAGACGATCCGTAAGAAATGAGCCTGGATCCTGTTCCTGAAAGTTGATGGCAAAGTTTAAATGCCCCAAATATTCGGAGGCGAAGCAGAATGCTGAGGAGAGACACATCTCGATCTTATCAGGAGGTAATGAAACTGGTGTGTGAAGTGCGGTTAGATCCTGCAGGACTCATTCATCCTTCATTATCATAGTAACGCAGAAAGTGCGTACAACTGCAGTCATGTGATAACAGCTGACCGCAGCTCTTTATTGCAGCAGCAGCTGGGCGTATAGAGAGATATGAACAGCGATATACTGTCATAGATACATGCATTTTGTGTGTATCTGTATATGTCTATGCACTTTTTAAATGCCACTTGGTGCATTGTAGTTTAACGGTGAGGACTGTGCTGGGCCAGAACACTACCAGAACAATGCTGTTTCTGAAGTGGAGCAAGATCAAGCCAGCTGTGACCCTTCACCAGGTCTGAACCTTCTTTCCTAAAAATATGACAGTAATAAATAAATGTTTTCTGTTTATGTAGATCTAGATTTCGACGTAGATTTATGTATGCAGACAGAAATCCTGTGGTTATATTCTGAGATGTTTTGGGGATTATTGATTGATTGATTTGTAATGCATGCATTTGTATATTCATATCATTATCTTCAGGAGTTAATTTGCCAAAGTTTGATTGTATGATACACTTTGTATTAACTGCCAGCACAACAATCACAAAATAAACCGCTTTCACTTAAAGAAGTGCATCTGTTTAGTTTTTTTCTCCTTTGCTTAAACTGCTATAGTTCTATTGTGTGATGGTTTAGTTGGTGCAGTTGAGTTTTATTTATTTAGATATTCATTTATTTGTACTGTCTCGGAAGGTAAATTTGCAATGATAGATAGATAGATAGATAGATATTTTCTGGGACAAATGTCCCTTTCTGTGACAATAAA